CTTTCACAGAGGTCACCTTAGACCATAGGAAAACACAGAAATTTATTACCTTATGATTCATAACAGTAGCAAATTTACAGTTATAAAATAGCAACAAAGGTAATTTTATGGTTGGGGTCACCAGAATATAAGGAACTGTATCAAAGGGTTACAGTATTAGGAAGGTTGAGGATCACTGCACTGCTCTAAGGAGATACATATGCACCCTTCTTTAGCTGTCAAACTATTTGACACTTGCTGTTCTTGCACTCACAACCACTTGTAAATCCAGTTTAGGAGATTTGATATGCTCTTCTGACCTCCAAGGGCCTCTTCAGACTTCAGAAATACCAGGAATGCATGTGGTGTACATATAAACATACAGGCAAAACACCCCACATGTTACTTCCCAACTTATCTCTATTTAAAAATAAAGAAAATATGACGAATCAGTATAGAAAATAAGGGAGGGGGGATGATCACTCAGCTTTGTCAAACTCTAGTGCAAGTCATTATTACAGTACTTTATGAGGGAAAGACATTTATGTATCTCACATTCCCAAAAGTCTGACTCCCCCAGAATTTACACTGAACTCACCCTTATTCTTCACTCTCTTCAATACAACTCTTACTGTCACGTCCCATGACCTCACTTCCCATTTCTTTTCTAAAACTGAAGCATAGGGAGAGAATACCCAGCTACTTTCTCATATACAACTCCTGATGAACAATCTATATGCTCATGCTCACCTACACATAATAATAAACAATATACATACACATCTTCCTGGTACATTATCCCTCCTCATTTCTCCCATCTTCATGATTTTTCTTTATTTCTCCCTTTTCCTAGATCTAACCTCATTTCTTCATTGTCCTATACAACAAAAGTCCTAGTGATAGCTCCCAACTAGACTTTTAGTTCTATCACTAAATATAATTGTCCCTATCAAGATCATTTGTGACCTCCATGCTGCTGTGTCCAGTGGTCAACTCTTCTCACACCTTAACTTCCCCCAGGAGCATTCTGTAATGTTACCATTCTTCATTTTCAACTGCTCAATTCAGCAACTCAGAAGTTCAACCTACCTTTTCTCTATGTACAGCCAGTGGTTTCACCTAGTGTCATTTTTACACCTCTGTATGTCAATTAGATCTAATTTCTTAGACTCATTTATTCAACCATGTACTTCATGTTTACATTTTGCTAACAATATCTAATACTGAACTAATTTTTCTCAACAATAGTTTCTGCCAGATTTTTTCTGGCCCCTGCCAAAATCATCTGTGATGTGATGAAGTTTCTCCCCCACATCTTCCTGTCAATAAAAATTTCTGTTGAATCTTTAATATATATAAAGAGTAAAAGCTGGGAGCCAGGCATGATAGTGTAGGCCTTTAATCCCAGCCCTAGGAAGATGGGGGGGGGGGAGGGGATTTCTGTGAGTTCAAGGCCAGCCTGGCCTACGATCAGATCTGTTTCAAAAATAAAACCAAAAGCTGGGTGTGGTAGTACACACCTTTAAGAGACAGACAAGGCCTCCAAGAGTTTGAGGACTGGACTACACAGCAAGGTCCAAGGCATACAGTAAAATCCTGCTCCAAAATAAATTACCAGTTATTCCAAAACACCACTATTCCTTAGCCTGAACTAAAGCTATGCCTGCATGGGGCTTAATGTGTAAGCACGGGTTAATGGTGGAGCTGTACTTGAGTGCTGGGCTGAATCATCCATTCCAATGAAGAAAAAAAATAAGAAAAGAATAAACTGCACCCAACTCTCCCTTACGATGCCCAAAAGATTTCAGCACAGTCACCCATAGAACAATTCCACCGGCAATCTATCGTTATCTCTGCTTCAAACCTGGGTTTCACTAAGAGTAAAGACCAAAGGGCCAAAATGACTCAGGGGGAGATGCATCTGGTTCCGCTGTCACCTCTTCCAGTGCTCTGTCATCCCGTCACCCCTCCCTAGTGTGAAAATGCTACACACCCCACTACTGTTTAAGTACCAGGAGAACGTCAAAACAAAACATTAACTAAAGTATGCACTACATTATCATGTGACAACAGAAAGGTCAAAGGGTCCAGCTAACTCCGTGGAACTCAAAATTACACAAGACTAAGGAAGTCATCAAGTGTCATAAGCACATCTAACACGGGCATGGAGTTTTCCAGAGGGGTAGAAAGTCTTTAAAGGAGCATGAAGTCATCATGACGAGGGAACATTATCTACTAGAGAACTAAGGAATGAAGTGAGCAGAAAAACAGGGCCACAACTTAATCAGACATGTTCACAGACGCTGAAACTTCACTAAGACTTACATTCTAAGTTCAACCGTAGAAGCACATGAGAATTTTCAGTATGTCTAAAGAGAGCAAATAAAACTGTAATTCATAAAAAGTCTACAATGAAATCCAAAAACAATGAGAATAGTATGTAGATAATGAACCCAGATAGAAAACCCAAAATTGTCTAAGAATCTTATAACCCCTACTTCCAAGTTTCATTTCCTCAAACTTAAATATCACAGTAGTTTCCTGAGGAATTTTCCTAGCACTCCTAAAGTTTGTTGGATTTTGCAAGGGCAAAGCTATGATTTATCCCTCTCGCACAAAATCCTTAAGTAACCACTTTCCATCTTTCTACATTGAAACATTCCACATCTTGCCTGGCGGTGGTAGCTCATGCCTTTGATTCCAGCACTCGGGAAGCAGGCGGATCTCTGTGAGTTCAAGGCCAGCATCGTCTACAAGAGCTAGTTCCAAGACAGGCTCCAAAACCTGTCTCAAAAAAACCAAAAATTCGGGCTGGAGAGATGGCTCAGCGGTTAAGAGCACTGCCTGCTCTTCCAAAGATCCTAAGTTCAATTCCCAGCAACCACATGGTGGCTCACAACCATCTGTAATGAGATCTGGTGCCCTCTTCTGGCCTGCAGGCATACATGCAGACAAAATACTGAGAATATTGTACACATAATAAATAAATCTTAAACACACACACACACACAAATTCCACATCTTAAGTATAGTTTCTGACTCCTTCCTTTGATCACTGTAGTGCTCCCCCCTTCCTTGTACAACTAATAAAAACTGCTAATCCTTTCCTAGGCACTTGACCTAATTTACTTATTAAAACATACTTTGTAACTCAGTTAAAGCATCAGATACCTTGATGCTAAAACGTATAAGTGAGAAATTACCTTTCTTAGTTATTCCCAGTGCTGGGAAGGCAGAAAGAGAGGCTGATGGAGCTCTGATTTCCAGGCCAGCATGGTCTACATACCGAGTTACAAAACAGCCAGAGCTACATAGTGAAACCCTGTCTACAAAAGAGGATGAGGGGAAAAATACCCTTCTTTTTAGGAGGCAACATCCTTGTCATGCAAACAAGTACACAACTCCAACTCAAAGACTTCTGCAGACTGAGGTACTGAATGTATCTGGATGCAAGGCAGAAGCTGTCCCCCACCCCACCAGCAGAGTTGTAATTGCAACCTACTATTGGAGTTTACTTAGTAACCAACTGAGCAGACTGCACGGTTTGCTGGCTACAGTGTACATACAAAGGAACTGATTCCCTAACTCATTTGTACTCACCACTTTTCTAGAAAACTTCAATACAGGAATGGGCCTCTCCGGCTGTTTCTATTTTCTTTTGGTAGGATGGTGCCTACCAGGACCCCTCAAAAAAGTGGATTAATCCAAGTGGATGAGCAATACACTCTCCCTCCCTCAAAAACAGAACAGAGAGGAAACTGGAGAGGAAAGTGATGAAGCCCATATAACTAATGAGTCTTTCTGCAACAGCCCAAGGAGCAGCATCACCAATTTTGGCAGTTTAGTCTTCCACAGGTGCCTTATCCTCCTACCCAAAGACCAACTGAGTTATTAACTCAACATCTTTCCCAAGATGTTTCTTTTCTTGTTTCCTTTTGGATTTAAAGCAACATCAGTTACACAAAAGACCTTAAACATTTACTTTCTAAAACCCAAACACCCTTTTAGAATGAATTCTAGAATGCATTTTTCAAACAGAAACTAGAGATAAAGGAGTCTTTTCCTAATTTCCCATTATAATTTAAATTTTTCATCTCTTATAGCTTAAATGTTATGGGACTAGTAAATTAACGCAGGTCTTTGAGAAAACTCCCAAAAAGCTATTTAAACATCCACCCTAGCAGATTACCCAGTACTTAAAGGTTTGCTTCGTATTTGGAGAAATCTGGGCTTTAATGTAGTACTCTATACATTGCTCATAAACTAGTCACAAATTAAGATGATTTTCCCATAAACCCTATTAACGCAAAATAGTACACATATTTTGAACACCCCTAAACAAACAAATAAAAATGCCCTAAAATCTGAAAATTTGACTATCCTGTCAGCTTCAGATTTTAGAGTATTTTGGGATTTGGAGTTTCACATTAAGGAAACTTAACTGGTAACGTCCAGAAAACAACTTTTTGGACAAGGAATGTTGGATTATAACAACTATCCATTAAAATGTGAAACTATTTCATACCTTTTTTGTTCATTTGTTTTTCAAGACTGTGTAGCAGTTCTGGCTGTCCTGGAACTCACGCTGTAGACCAGGCTGGCCTTAAACGCACTGAGATCCACCTTGTCTGTCTGGCTATGGCTGTTTTGGTTTTGTACCGGTCGACCGATTTGGGATTTTGGTATTGACAGGTGTTCTGAAGTGGACGCGCTTGTACAGAGACCCTGGAGAAGCAAGGGACGCCTTGTCTTCCATTTCTAGACAGGGGCCTTTCTGGCTCCGGGTCATTTCCAGACAGGGATGGGAATTCTCCCACTCCCGGGTCATTTCTAGACAGGGGCCTTTCTGGCTCCAGGTCATTTTCAGACAGGGAGTTTTGCTCCCGGGTCATTTCCAGACAGGGATGGGAATTCTCCCACTCCCGGGTCATTTTCAGACAGGGAGTTTTGCTCCCGGGTCATTTCCAGACGGGGATGGGAATTCTCCCACTCCCAGGTAATTTCCAGACAGGGATCTTGCTGGCTCCTGGTCATTTTCAGACAGGGATGGGAATTCTCCCACTCCCGGGTCATTTCCAGACAGGGGCCTTGCTGGCTCCGGGTCATTTTCAGACAGGGAGTTTTGCTCCCGGGTCATTAGAAAGGGACTGGCATTCTACAGACCCTGGGTCATTTGCAGCTACCTCAGAGACAGCTGTTTGAGTTTCTCCCATAGTGGGAGAAAAGGTCATTAAGTGTCTTGTCCCTGAAATTTGTCAAAGTCCTTTTATGTTATGTTATGGTAATTGTTACTTTGTTTTCTTTCTCAAGGCTCCTATGGAGCCCCAACCCACTCCCCCAAGCAGTTAGACATGGAGAGGAGAGAGGCAAAATCTTGGAGAGCACCCAAAAGAAACTGGGTGCAGAGAGGGTAGGAAATACATGCCTGTGACTTATAATGTCTTTGGGGCTACTACACTGGGTACATGGTGATCCCCTGGAGTTCCAGAAAACTGTTGTCTCTTTGTTTATTATGTTTAAGACTAGACTGGCGGGACTAAAAATAAATAAATAAATAAAACAAAACTTAAACATAAAATGCAGATAACTTGACAGCAGCCCATCTAGGGTCTGTATCCCTAGCCCTGAGCCAGGTCTGATGGCAAGAGGATACACTGTCTGGGTGCTGAGAGCTAAGCCTTAAAGACTGTGGAAAAATGCAATACGGCAAAGGATCTGAGTAGGGGCTGGGGGAGGGTTCCGAGGCCAGGGAGCAAGGACACCTGAGATGGAGTGGATGACAAAATCATCATGCACCTGGCCTCTTCAAAAGGCAGGCGGTGGAGCTAATGACTGCGAGAGGCCAGCTGCAGCAAAACAGGGCAGTCACCTCTCATTTGTTCTCTCTCTGTATCTTGAGGGTCTTTGCCTTAGGCAGGAGAGAGGGACCTACATGCAGATGGCAGAGAATTGACCACTTGCAATTAAGAAACTGCAAATATAAAACAAAAAAATCTGAGATCATAGTCAAAAAATTTAACAAAAACTTTTTTTAAGAAAGCATTGACAGCCAAGGACACTCTCTGTGCCCACTGCAGCTGCCTCCTCTTTTCTTTTCTGAACCAAGTTCTTCAGTATGATAACACTCAAGGTATCTTCTACTGGCCAGCAGTTTCCCGTCTTAACCCTTTCCTGTCCTGATACTGCTGCTTATAAGAAGTTTTCAATTATACCAACCTGTAACTTTAAAAAATGTTGATTTTAAAGTAAATGTCAAAAAAATACATTATGTTTAAAAATGCTTTTGTTTCCACAGGGAAAAAAAATATATGGATTACAAATACTTAAAACCTTTTATTAAGATACATATTTCTGCTTTTGTTTTATGCAATGTTCTGCTAAATAAAATCACAAAAAAGACTTTGATAAAAATTTACACATTGTCTAAAAAGGTTTTTAATAGAGGTTTTTAAAAGATCAAAGGATGTTTGCTATAATTTATTGTACCTAACTGTTTAACGGTTAATTCTGGTTTTAAAAAGCTTTATTTGTCTTGTTAAAGGGTCATGGTTATTCCTTAAAAAAAAATTTATGTTTATTTTGCTAAAAATTAGTCTTTAATAATTATAAGTTTCATACTTGTAATTTTTCTCTGAGCTCTGGTCATTAGATTTGGGTTTGCAAAAATTTAAATGTCTTTTTGATATAGATAATATTAAAACTGTTTTATGCTGTTCTTTACTGATATACAAGAAAGTCAGTTACCACCGGAAATATCTGGAATTAGACTCCCAAAGGGGGAAAAAAAACAGCTACAAAGAAAACCACCAATGCCAGGAAATAGTCACCAAAAATGTCAATTGTAATAAAATAGGTTATAAAACAGATATGCTTATAAAATGTTTCATATTATTAATATTTAGATTTTAGTCTCATAGTCTTTGCTAAAATCATTAAAGGTTCAATCTAACAAAAATATGATATATAGTTCTGGACTGTTAAAAATACAAATTAATAATCAGTCATCCTCAAATACTGATATAAGTACATGGATAAGCTTTATTTAGTTTTAAAGCTTAAAACAAATATTTTTAATAATAAAGTCTGTCTAATCAGAGATACCTGGACAGCCCTAAATACTTCAGAGATCTATAGAAAATGACATTTAAAATGTTTAAAAAGCTTTTATCAGACAGAGACTCTGAGATCCTAACAGTGACCCAAGGTCTCCAAAGAAGACTATGAGACACCACAATGTCTCCACCTTCATAACGATGACATTGACCACTGGGCAAAATGCCCCATGCTACGACCTGCTGCCAGGACCCAGCCCAGACTGTGGACAAACAGTAGGACCTTGGCGAATTGATTGCACCACTTTTGCCTAGACAAAATAAGGTCAGTCTTTTCCATGTCCCTCTTCCACAGAAACCAATCACCTTATGGGCCTGGTAAAGCCTGCTGTTCTGATACTGCTGCCTCCAACGCTATGGAGACCTGGGTATGACTGTATATGGGCTGGTCTCTTGTCATTTTTCTGTTTTGTCTGTACTTAAGTACAATTTATTTATCCAAGATCTCTGATTATATTTAATGGCTAGGCCAGCTATAATATCAATTTAAGAGCAAAAAAAGATATCCAGATCCTTACACAAAGCTATAGCCAGCTTGTTAGCTCATTATATATAAAGGTCTAAGGATATAAAAATTCATAAACATTAAGGGTTTAAAAAAATAATTTAAAATAGTACTAATAAACAATAAAACAATGACTACATACTGTTTGGGTTACAAGTTCAGGATTTTCTATGTTTTTGCTGGGACTCAAAGGTATAAGTCTATTTTTTACTGTTTTATATATACCTGTTATTTGCTATTTCTATAATATGGATTTTAATATGGGCCTAAAAGTTTCAAATGTATTAACTTCTGTTCCTAGTTTAAATTTGTCTCAACAGGTTTCCCCTTGGTTGGTGGACACAAACAAACATTAATTGCTGCCTGCAACCTGCTCCAGACGACTGTGGACCATGGACTTGCTAAAAATCTGTTATGGACCAGTCTAGCAGATATAAATGCTCCCTGGCTCTTCAACAAAGTCCACAAACCAAATGTTCCTAAGATTTTCTCTTTTTGACTAGCATTTCACCTTTGTTAACCCTTGACAACGACGCCCCAAAGTCAGCTGGAAGCAGTTAAAAGAATACATCGTCCAATAACCCCTGTTTAAAATGCTAAGTCAAAAGAAACATAAAAAGACTCTAAGTTTAAGAGACAATTTGGCCAAAGTTAGCAAAACCAGCTCATGATAGAGCTGATTCTTAGGACCAAGAGGAGTGGGGAATGTGGGACCCTCACCCCTAATTCTCAAAGGGGCAAGAAGAAATTTTCTAGCAGAATGTTTTCCCAGGAAGATAGTGGCCTTCCCCTCTCCCACCCAGGATATTCTGAGCACAAGGTCACTTAGCTCAGCCCAGCCAGCCACCTGATAAAGATGGCCTAACTCAAGAACAGTGGCCTCTCTAAAAGCAAGAAAAGCTTACTTAACAAAATGTGAGGGAGCAAAAGTCCTTATACCCATGCCAAAACATCTTCAAAGATTCTCTTTGTAGTTATGCCTTTAAAAGCTTAACCCACAGGAGATACAACTCCTCTCTACCTTGTTGTAACGGGGATGGAGATGAGTTCCAAACATGTTTGTATTATGCTGATTAAACCTTGCTTATTACAGTCTGGGCCTCTCTGGTGGTCTCTCTCTGGGGGTCGTGATCTGGGCACAACATATAGAATACAAGCCTCCATTATATTAAAAAAAAAAAGTTGAACCTAAAACAGCTTGGTAGGAGAGTACTATGTCAAACTTTAAGATTCTATCCTCAACTATCTATAATTAGATCTGGTACCCTCTTCTGGCTTGCAGGCAAAGATACAGGCAGAACACTAAATAATAATTTTTAAAAAAAAAATGTGGGGAATAAAGAACATACTGGAAAAAATCATTTATTTAGTTTTTTTAATTTCTAGTTTGCAAAAGATTCCAGAATTAAGCTACTAGTCAGGTTAAGTTTATAATTATGTTAAAAATCTTAAAAAGAATTCACATAAATATTCATAAACACAGGAAAATTTTCCATAAAGGTAAATAAAGCTGATTTCAATTTTACATTTTTCTGTTATATAGCACACATTAGAAAAGCTAGGCTAGTACAGACATGACACTGAAACTTTCTTTACTCACTGAGCATCTTCCCAGTTCCCTAAGGTACTTGGTTGGGTATCTGGAACACAAGCTTGAGGGCCAACCTACCTGATACTCATAGAGACAAAGACACCCTGCTTCAAGGCGAGGAAAAAAAGAAACACTACATACATACATGCATGCACACACACACCCTTCCCTACATACATGAAAAGAACTACATCCTTTTAAGTAGACATGCAAAGCAAAAAACTACATCCACTTAAGTAGAAAGGCATAGTCATTTGTCAACCTAATACTGGACCCAACTGATCTTGGACTCATTTAAATAAGACTGACTACGTGAAACACTTCTCTTAAAGAACTACACTTTTAGTCAGGCCCATCCACTATTCCAGTTGCTTGAGAGGCTTAGGTAGGAAAATAAAGGTGTACAAAGCATCTCACATGAACAAAAAAAAAAAAACAACAATATATAGACCTAATTTTCAAAATGTAGTATATCTGAGACAATGTAATACTGATAAAGGTTGTGACCAAAAGACTAAATGAAATTGAATACTTTACTATGAAAATACTACAAATGACTGTGTACAGGTTGTCTAAAGACCTAACTAGCCACACATGATGTACTAAATAAATCCAAGGCCCTTCTCACATCTTTAAATGCAGCTAAAGGAACAGGAATAATGTTTTCACTACTCAACATACACTTACACTTACTTCAACAATGTACAATGTGGTAGTTTGAATGTAATTGGCTTCTATAAGCTCATAAAAAGTGGCACTATTAGGAAAGTGTGGCTTTGTTGGAGGAAAGTGTGTCACTGTGGGGGGTGTGGGCTTTGAGGTCTCCTTTGCTCAAGCTTGACTCAGACCATTTCCTGTTGCCTGTAAGATATAGCCAGCACCATGTCTGCCTGCATGATGCCATGCTCCCCACCACAATGGCCCCATGATAATAAATTGAACCTCTGAACTGTAAAAGCCACCATCTCAGTTAAATGTTTTCCTTTATAAGAGTTGCCATGGACTGACAGCTTATGCTGGAGAGGTTGTAGGGAAAAGGGAACACTTCTGCATTGCTGGTGGGAATGCAAGCTGGTACAACCCCTTTGGATGTCAGTGTAGCGATTTCTCAGAAAATTAGGAAATAACCTTCCTCAAGATCCAGTAATACCACTTTTGGGTATATAGCCAAAAGATGCTCAATCGTGACACAGGGGCATGTATGTGCTCAACTATGTTCATAGCAGCTTTGTCATAGTCAGAACCTGGAAACAACCTAAATGTCCCTCAATCGAAGAAATGGATAAGGAAAATGTGGTAATTTACACAATGGAGTACTACACAGCAGAAAAAAAAATGACATCTTGAATTTTGCAGGAAAATGGATAGAGCTAGAAAACATTGAGTGACGTAACCCAGACCCAGAAAGACAATTATCACATGTACTCACTCATAGGTGGTTTTTTTAAATAACATAAAGCAAAGAAAGCCAGCCTACAAACCACAATCCCAGAGAACTTAGACAACAATGTAGACACTAAGAGAGACTTACATGGGAAGTAGAAAGTAGAAAAAGACAAGATCTCCTGAGTAATTGGGAGCATGGGGACTCTGGGGGAGAATTGAAAGGAGGAGGGGAGAGGGAGGGAGGGGAACAGAGAAAAATGTAGAGCTCAATAAATATCAAAAAAAAAAAAAAGCTGGTCTAGATTGGAGTACATGGAACCCTGTCCAAAAAAAGAGAGGAAAAAAGAAAAAAGAAAGGAAAGGCGAGAGAAGGAGAGGAGAGGTGAGGATAGGAAGGTAGGGAGAAAGAGGGAAGACACAGTGTTGGAGGAGATTTCTGAGTGCTTGTGAGAAAACTCCGAGAAACCAAAAGAAAAAAAAAAAGTTGCCGTGGTCTTTTCATGGTGTCTCTTCAGTGATAGAAACCCCAAGACAGAGCCATACTTCAATTTGATGAGTAAACCTGAGATTCATTTACTGCACAAATCTGTGGCAAGTATCAACTCAATTTGATCTTACAATATTCATAATTTGAAACCCTCAAACTTCAATGCAATGACTAGTGGAGATGGTGCCTTTCAAAGGTAATTATGGCTACATGAGGTCATCTACATGGAACCTTCATGAATAGGTTAGTGCCTAGAGACAAGAGAAGGGGACATTCTCTCAAGTGTGATGAAATATTAACAAGGCAGACAACAAAGTTTCACCATCACAGGGCCTTAATGATACCTGCTGTAGGAATTTAGCAGTCACTGTATTTGGGGTAAACATGAGAGTGAATAGTTGTTTTCTACAAGCACTCTGACCTTCAAAAATCATTGTCGAAAACAGTGATTGTCTGTTTTCTGTAATGTGCAGAATTGTTTTTCTGAGGGCGCTTTACAGTTGTTGCATGACTTAGGTCACAATATGATTCTGGCACACCTGAGGCGCTTGGATTATTGTGAACTATGCACAGTACACAATAAAGGAATAAAGTCATGTTGGCATTTGATGCTTTCCTTTAGAGAGACATATAAACTAGATTACAGATCTTGGTATGAGGAAATACTGTACAAAAAAAACCAACTTTGTGTAACAAGTAATAAATATACCTTTGTACATCTGTTCGAGGTTTGGTTCAGTTCAGTTCACCAGAGGCTAGACCTTCCTGCTGCCACATAAGCCTTAAAATTCCATCTTGGAGTGACCTCTTTTTTTTAACCAACCCAACAACACCCAACAGATACCCTCACTTTAAGATTTCCCAGTCTGAAAAATAGGGAGAAAAGGCCTGCTCACTAAGCCACACAGTCTCTATATTATAACAACAGCCCAAGCAAAAATAGTCAAGTCTACTATTTTGAAGAACCAATAATACAAAACGCATGATACCAGATAGGTGTGACAGTGCGTGCCTATAATCCCAGCATTTAAGAGACAGCAACAAAAGCATCATAAGTTCCAGGCCAGCCTGGCAGTAACAAAACAGGTGCCAGGACTGCTGGGACTACAAAACGAGTCCTTGTCCCAAATAAATACACATGTAAATAAAGTGTAGCTGGAGAGATGTTCAGAGGTTAAGAGCACTGCCTGCTCCTCCAGAGTTCTAAATTCAATTCCCAGCAACCACATGGTGGCTCACAACTATCTGTAATGATATCTGGTTCCCTCTTCTGCTATGCAGGCAAAACTCTCTACACTGGATGGATGGATGGATGGATGGATGGATGGATGGATGGATGGATGGAGCGAGCTGTGGTTGCACAGGCCTATAGTATTTGAAAGCTGAAGACAGAGTACAGATGCAAATATAAGGACAAAAAGTTCAAGCTCTTCCTGGGCTAGAGACCTGTGTCCAATTAAAATTTTTAATTTAATCCCAGCAGCACATGTTAAGCAGAGGCAAGATCTCTGTGAGTTCCAAGCTAGTCAGAACTAGATACCATGGCTCCAAAATAATAAAAAAACAAACACACACAGAAAGACAGAGATAGACAGATGATATGTTCAGATAACCAAAGGAACTGGCTTGGCATGACACCTGTTTTTAACAAAATATTCATAATGCAGAATCTTTGACAATCTAAGGTCTAAGTGACAGCTATTCTGACAAATAATGGACAGATTCGGGACATACAGAAATTAAAAAGTAAAGAAGACGAATTTATCTCCAAATAATTACACATACATAGTCAAGGTTCACATATTTTTTAAAGTTAAGAGTATTGTCAAAGCAGGGCGGCAGTGGTACTCAGGAGGCAGAGGCAGGTAGAGCTCTGTGAGTTCAAGGCTAGCCTGGTCTACAGAGAGTGAGTTCCAGGACAGGCTCTACAGCTACTAGGAAATCCTATTTGGGGGGGGGGGTGTCTTGGGTCTGGAGAAAAATCTAAGCATGGTAATGGGTGCCTGTAACCCCAGTGTTGAATAGGTGAAGACAGGAGTCCTAGGATTTGTGGTAGGTAACCTAACTTAATTGGTGAGTCCAGGGTCCCAGTAAGAACTTGTCTCAAAAAATCAAGGTGGCCAAGTGTAATGGCACATACTTT